CCCACCACAGATCAGTACTCAACAAGAACATTCCCAGTCTGTCTGCCGGAAACTGGCCTCCAGGAGCAGCTCTATCCTGAGTACCCTCAGCTGCAAGCTGAGCTCAACCCCCTCCCTAGACTGAAGCTTTGCACCTTGTCTCCAAGTCCCATCTTCCCGTGGCAGGGAGCCCTGTCAGCAGCCAAAACCGGAGCACGGCATGGGGCCAGGGATGGATTCCTGGGCAGCCCGAGAGGAGATGCAAATGGAGCGGGAGGCTGCTCGAGAAGCCGAGACAGACAGATGCTTTTACACTTCAAAGGGAACAGGGCCCTGTGAGGCTTTCAGGAATACGCACAAATCGATAGACTCCTTTCAAACACCGAGCACATTTGCTCAAGTGTGAGGCAATTATTCCCTGAGGATGGAGGCAGGACAAGGCCATTAACAGCCATACGGGCAGGACAAGGAACATGCGGCGCTCCAGGAGGAGCGCCAGCCCAGCCTGGGGGGCAGAACACCGCTCTCCTGGCCCAGCTTTCTCATCCAGGATTTACAAAATGCCCTGTGTCCCCAGGGGCTCTACAGGGAGCACATTAGTGTCATTCAGCCTATGTCAGTGCAATGCTCAGCACATCCTTTTGGTGAACAGCGGGTTTGATCACATCCCCTCCGCTGCTCTAGTTCACTGCCTTTGTCCCCGGAGGGCTGACTTTAGTTTACCGAAGCAATTCCCATTTTCCCCTCACCGGATGCTGCTGGGCAGAGCCTGAGCTCTGTCTCCACTTCTAGATGGCAAAGCAGAGCCCAAACCAGATTGTGGGAGAGCAGAGGGCTGGCTGCTCAGCGTGGGGACAGACCCCGCGGTGTGGCAGGAATCACGCCTGACTCATCCCTGTCTGCAGCAGCATTTCCACGCAGATTACCCTTAATGCACCATCTCCCAGCAAGGAAGGTACAGTTACAGAGATCACAGTGCCCGTGCTTTGTGACCCCACAGATGGGAGCTGGAGTGACAGTGCCAGCACACAGGAAATCTCTCCTGTGAACAGCTGCTGTTTTACATGTACAGTCATACTTGTACAATGAGAGGCAGAGATACTGAAAGTGAGCAGTGCTTTATTGCCTAGTGCATGACTGATGGGAGTGCCCATCCTGCATCACCGGCTGCCCACTCTGCTTTATGGAGGCACATAATTTACCCTCTTCAGTAAAAATAGAGGAGGAGGAAATAAAAACCTCAGCATGTCCCCAAAGAACTGTAGGAGATTAAATCTATCCATTACACTCACCAAGCAGGGTGCTGTCTGGGCAGGAACACTGTAGTTGTACACCTGCATGTTCAAAGAAAAGAAATCGAGTATTAGAGAAGTGTCAGAGGCAATCCAGCACCCCACAGCAAAGTGCTTCAGGTCATAAAACAAACTCACACGACTTGGAAAAACAAAAAAGGAATAACACTAAACTAGGCTGAACAGCAACACTGCTCAGCACAGCTGCAGCACCTCTTCTCAAGATTTGCTTCACCCTCAGTTAAAATTTTGTCTGACACTTCTGCTCAGGCCCAGGTTTCAAGAATGCTTCTGGGTTTGTTCTGGGACGTGTGTGTCGTGTGCTGTGGGGGAGAAACACCTTTCCTACTCCCTTCACTGTGTCCTGTAAGCCTCTCCCTGTGTTCCTCCTGCTGTAATGTCCAGAAAGCCCTTTTGGCCTTCCTTCCGGCCTTGCAGGGCGGGCCGTTAAAAGGCGGTTCCCTTGGGTGTTCGGGGGGCAGGTCAGCAGCAGAGGGCTGGGAACAGAGCCCCGAGGACAGGAACAGGCCTCCCTCATGGCCACTGACACTGCAGCAAGGCTGTGGCTCTGTGAGCAGCTGCTGAGGGACACGGAACAGCTCACCCCCACCAGGATCCAGAGAAGTGCCTCCATTCCCAAACAGCCCTGCAGAGTTTTTTCCCTCCCTTTGCAGTGAGCACCTGGAGGCCGAGGGCGGGCAGGCACACGAGGAGCGGGCAGAGGGGCTGGCACTGCGGGCAGCTCTGGCAGCCCGGCTCTGGCCCGGAGCCGCCCGGCTGCTCACCAGCGCTGCTTGTTGCTCCAGCCAAATGCTGCCTTCCCCCGCTAAGATGTTCCGCACGGATCCCACCCTAGGGCTCGGGAATTAAGCGGGTTTTAAGCTCTGCAATAAAAACCCATTCGACTTGAAAGAATGTTGTTATTGCTGGAAGGGGGTTTGCACTGCTTGCTTGGATCGCCTTCCAGCGAGCCGCTGCTCGGCTGTCCAAGGAAACGCGTGTCGCAGTCTCCTGGGAGGCTCAGGGAGCACCACGACAGACAGCCCGTCCCGGCTGCGGGTCAGCCCAAAGCAAGCCAGGAGTCCTGCCCAGCACTAGGTGCTCCAAGAGCCCCAGCCTAGCATGGAAAAGCTGCTCCCCAGGATCTGCTCAGGCTCCCTGCAGCCCCGCGTGAGGGCTCGCCCCAGCCGGGGCCGCAGCTCGGCCGGCGGCTCCGTCCCAGAGCCTGGCTCGCACCGGCCCCGCACAACCTTGTCCCCGCAGCACCTGGAAATTAGAAAATCCCTTCGTGAAACCAGCTGGAAGTTGTGCGGAGCCAGCGCAGGTGCAAGTGCAGAGGGCACAGCCCGCAGGTGTGGGCAGGCTCGCCGTGTGCCCGCAGGGCTGCGGGCAGCGCTGGAGCTGCAGGGAACGGCCGAACCTGCGCCTGCCTGGGGAAGAACTGCGGCATCGGCAAGAAAGCATTTTTCTGCCATTCCCATCTGCATCGAAACAATGTCAGACAAGGCTTAAGGCTGCAAAAACCAGTAGGAGAAACCAAAATAAATCAAGATCTTGATTTCCCATAGGAAATTTACCTAGATCCCATTTATAGTCCATTTGCCCTCCTCCTTATGTAACTTCTCTGCAGGAGAGGAGCAGAAAACACAGAGAAAATAAACAATTTGCTGCAAAGAATTGGTGCAAGAGCTTGAGTCATATCTAGCAGTGTGAGCAGATAACCTGAGGCTCACTGAGCACACTGTGGAGAACAATGAATGCTGAAATCAACAGCGTGTCATGCATGTACAAACTGGCCCCAGGTAACATGACTAAAGCAGAGCATGTTGTGCTTGAGAAAGATGCACAAAACCTACACTTTTGAGTTTATTTTATTAGTCTTAATGGCCTGACTTCCACACGTCTCATTTCCTTTTATTGAAGCTGTCAGAGGCATTACATTCTCTCACATGCGTGCAAAACCAGCATTTCAGTTCGAGCTCATACAGACTTGAAATGCCACAGCTGAAGAAAACAAGCCAGTGGGAACTGCAAAGGGAGGGGGCGGGAGCAGAGTCCAGAGCACACCTACAGGCAAAATCTCCAAAGGCTTCCCGAACAAGCCGAGCGCAGTCTCTAATCAGAGAGAAAGGATAGGTACTTGTGCAAGCTGGATGATTCACTGGAGAAGGGCGAGCAGTCCCGTTGTAACAGAAGGCTGATGAGTAATTGATGGCTCGTCCCAGGCACAAAGCTGAGTCTTGTACCCCAGTGCAGAGCCGTCTGCCAAACCAGCTCTACCGACAGGCCCAGGGGGCAGCAGCACCTGCACTGCTACTGCAAAGGTTTGAAAGAAACAGCATTGCACTCGTGTTTTCACAGGAATTCCCCAGTGCTGCCCAGCTGTCCTCAGTTACTCATGCTCACTGCAGCTTTTCATCCTCATTAGCGCTCTGTGACAGGGAAACACATCCCAGCTACAAAGATAAAGAAACAGATCCAACCAGGTAGCCTGTGGGGGATGCATTCTCTCTCTCTCTCTGGCGGGTGTGCTGCTGGCAGTGATCCCATGCACAAAGAACCGCCTTCGGGTCCCCTGCTCAAGGCACTCACTCAACTCCCTGGTCATTCTGCTCCTCTCATTTCCAAGATGTGAAGGACAGTGGTGGCAAAATTAACTACTAATGGCCAGAGACAGCCTTTTACAGCTGATCTGCCTTCACACAGCTGGCATTTGCACAGCAGGAAATAATGATATTTTTGCATTTAAAAAAATTGTGCTCCATATTTTGTTTCCCCAACCAGATTTCTTTTTAAGTGAGTTGCTGACATCCACATGTGTGTCATACACAGCAGGTACAAATCACTACTGGCCAGGGTGCCATCAGAGGGGAGGCTCACAGGGCATTATGTACATGTACTGTGGCAAAGTCTGACCTTTATTTCAATGCTGCACATCCTCAAATCCTGGGAAGCCCAGGGGAAGTACTCAGCTGCTCTGTAAATATCATAATTGTGCTACAAAAGCAGTTTGCAGTATACAATTTAAATAAGAAAACAGTCATTGTAGTTGAGCCCACAAATTTACAAGGCTTTACTTTTCACAGTAATTTTAACAATAACAACATGGCTCAACATCCCTGCGCTATGCAGATGCACAGTGAGGAGCTGGTGCCCCAAAAAACTGGTGCACAGCCTTTCCCAGTGTCCCTGCACAGGGGTCCTGAGGCACGAACCTGCCCAGGTCTGCTCAGAGACAACATCTTGCTACATACACACACACTCTCTCACACGTGTGTGCACACAGAAAATCATCTGGCACACAGGCTAAATGACACGCCTCAGTGTGGCTGCA